AATTTATAAAATGTTTCCTTTAAGGTGGCCATCTGATGCTCTCTGGTGATTAACCTTCAAGGCTTTGTTATCAGGTCAAAATGTAAACATAAAATTCTTTCCCACACTAGAGGTTCTTTTTAATTAACTTCCAAGTCTTTCTTTAGATGTAAGATGATATAAATTTCATCTAAATCCTTAGCATTTAAAAATGTCCCAAAAAACAACACTATAATTCCCCTTTTCTTATATATTACAAAAAATAAAGACCTTACAAAGCTGGAAACACATAATTATCTTTCTTTTTAAACCAACTGAAGAGAATTCACCCAGGAAATCTCCAACTTGCAGCTTTGAAGGTTTTTCAATCTTAATAGAACAGTAAGGAAAAAAAATACTAAACACCAAGGTGATTAAAAAGATGAGGTTTGGACAAACTTTAAGTCCTTAAAAAGACCACATTAACGGCTCAGAGCATGATGAAACCCACGGCTCCCAGCTGATCACAAGCAGCTGCGAAAACAGCAGTTTCTGCTACCGACTCACAAAAAAGAACTAGCTGTCCAGAATGCATGAGGGTAATCTCAAAACATCTCTTTCATCCAAAGAGAGTTACAGGCATCCAGGATCCCGCATCCAGCTGCCTTTTGGCCACAATGTCCCCGCAAAGCACGGGTGTCAGTTCTCCAGCCTCACTGGAAGTTAAATCCTCATTGTTGAATATTCAGATCTGAAACCAACCTGCTCAGGCACTTAGATATTCTCAGAATGCAGCTAATCTAAAAGTTCATGACATAAAACATGCCATAAAGTTTATAACTCTTGAAATAAGACTAATGGGGTGATAATTGGCAGAGTCACACCTATCTCCTTTTTTATATCTTGGAAGTATAATGGTATTAAGCCATTATTATGGCTATACTTATACATATAGACTTTTTTATGGCAGTGAAAAGACGCGCTAATACTGATCCCCACCAGGTTGGATTTAACTTTAAAAATTCAGGTGGAATTAAATCTTTGCCAGGAACTTTATCATGTTTTTGTTCAACAATTCACTTGGACAATTTCAGAAGAAGTGGCAGTCACTCTGGAAGGAGATCATCTAATAGCTGAATATAAGTGGTACTGTCTTGAGAAGATGTAAATAGACCTTGGAAATGCCTGGCCCAAGTATCAAGAGAAATTAAATTATTATCAGAATTTGCATTAGCTATAGATTTAGAAAAAAGGGTGCCAAAATGTATAATGTGATATTTTAAGGCATGCACCCTGATTAAGATAAATATCATCCTGATGAGGAAGAGATACAGAAGGCAACACTGAGGCACTAATAGATTGGATCATAGAGACAGCATTTGGGGACTAAAATATCACATATAAATGAAGAGTAAAACATGGTGTTAGAACAGACATGTAAATTACCCAAATGATTTTTTCCAGGAGAAAATAAACTATCAGCTCAGCCATAAAACACTTAGACACAAAGGAATGCTAACTCAGATAGAAGCAGCACTGGGAAACAAGGGCGTTTGATAACATCTAGGGAAAAGCAACATCTCAACAGATACATTCTCAGACCCCTTTGTTCTTCTCAAAAGGCCATTGTATTTACCCCATTAGCTTATCATCCTGACATTATTAATGCACACCTGCCATAAACCAGTCAATATTTTTGCTGTACTGATTAAATGTGCATTATAGTTTGCATAAATCTACTGTATATTAAGGGCGTGTATCCCTGCCTACTTGAGGTTTATCTATCACCTCCAGTACCAAATAAACCAATCTGTGTTTCATTGGAACTGCATGCTAGTCTCCACTCCAAAATGAACTCCTAACATTCTCCTAGACTACTACCTTTCTATCAGCTTTCCATGTCTTAAAATTTCTCTATTTTCTCATCTTTAATAAACATTCTACTAGCTATCCTTTTTTGCAAAGTTTGACATTTCGAACAGGAGAGAATCATGCACAGAACTTTTTTCCTACTTTGCAAAGGAGAACATGAGAAGGACCTGTCTGGCTAGGCAGAAAGAGAGAGAAATCCAAGCATGGTCTATGGACAAGTCAATGGTCACCTTTCTGTCTGTCTGTCTCTCATGTCCAGAAAGTTGCACAGGCAGAGTTCTATTCCCCCACCATTCCCTGCCCCTCCATCCTTGAGAGAGCAGAGGACAACTTTAAATTATTTTAAAATTAATGTATGAAAGTAATCATTTGTGATGGAAAAATAATAAAGCTGGAAACTCTCTCCCCTCCCCCTTGCCTCTCCTGCAGCAAACTCTTTACTCCTCCCCTTGCCTCTCTTTCTGCCCCCCGCTCCTGCAATCTCTTTTCTTCACTTCCTTCTGCCATTCTTTGCTCATGCAAAACAGGATCAGCTCCAAGCTATTGCATGACCCAAGAGTGACCATGTTACACTGCCAAAAATAGCCCTCTTAACACTATCATACTGAAACAATGGGAGGGCCATAACCCGTCTGCTTAAGGATTTGCCATGGTTCTTATCTCACAATAGAAAAACCATTTATCTCCCATTTAACACCTATCCAAACCTATCCTCAAATCAGATCCCTCAGATTTCCTGCCTCTCAACCTCAAAAGTGTATAAATTGTATGCTTTTCTCTTGTTCAGGGTCCCTCTTTATTGGAAAGCAGGCACCCAATGATCATTGCAATAAACATGGTTCTTCTCCTCAGTGTTGTGTTCCTGTCTTTGGCAAAAATTCCACAACACATTAATAGAGATTGGATATGGAAGTTTATTCAGTTTTGAAACAGGACCTGATGAGAACTGGGAAATTAATTAGGGAACGTCCTTCATAATTCACCCTTGGCTTGTTTTTTGATTGGCACTCTGTCAAGGTACATTTAGGTGTAAGAGTTACCATTCTTAAGTTTTGTCATGAGCATTTTCAGACATAACATAGCAAGCATGCTTTCAATCACACTTATCCTTAGTAACTGGAAATCATTTGTAATTTGAAAAGGAACTACTGATCCGGGATGATACAGAAGAAGCTAGAGTCAAAATTAAACAATTTAGTTTATTTGGTGTGATTTGAAGGATAAATTAATTGGCTAGCTTTACATTCTACAAAATTTAAATGAGAACTATCTCAGTAACTAATGACCCATTTATTTAACTGTTTCTAAATGTAAATAATATATCTACTGTCTGTCTACATATTTTGTTCTAGGATCTGACTCTGAATCTTTTAAGAGCATAGCAATGACATTAGTATAAGGCATAGTAGTATTCCCCCTTCCCCTTCCAAGTCTTTGCAAGAATTAATCAGACAGTGTTCTGTAGTACATAACAATAAACAGTATTTATTGCAGATGCTTGGCAGCTATTTAGTTATGAAATAACCATTAAGAATCTCACTTTCAACAAAATTTTGAATTTTAGTAAATTAAAGAATTTTAGTAAATTACAGAAAAATCAAGGTATTTGGTTTGATTAGTTCATGATACAGAGCTGTTTCTTTTCATTTTAGTACTGCTGTGACAAGAGAATATAGGAATTTCATACTTCTAATATAAACGCTATTTACAAAAACAAATATACTTCAAAACGAAGCCTGGACACTATCACATAACACAATTCGTCCTGGAGAGCGACATACCTTTTGAAACATATCATATACTGGTGAATGCATCAATATTATTCAGAAACTATCATGTTGCTGCATATTGAATAATGCATGACAGTTTACTAGAAATATATAAATATTTCATAGCATACACCTTGTATATTTATACTAATTATTTTTTGTGAAATTAACAAATATTATCAGGAGAAAAGTGCTTAATCACATGGGATTATTTCTTTTTAAAAATCTGGATCTCTTAAAAGCCCTACTTTTAAGATGGCAGACTAGTATTACATGTTTTAAATAATATCCCTCTCCTACTTGTCCCAAACACTACAACTTGTGAAAATGCTGCTTTGCACTTTATAATTCTTCTCTAGAAAGTATTAAATAGCACTGCAATTAATATAGCTTTAACCCCAAATGCTATAAGTGGGTGGTGATAGCAACAGAAATATTAAACCCAAAGTACCCTAAAGGAATTTCCATGTGATTAGGAAGGATAACTGTTTGAAACTATTTCAGCATTTTGTCCTCAGTTGTGTAGATGACTGAAATTTCAAGTGAAACACCTCTTTTTCATAAACATTTCATGCTTCTTTTCTACCTTCTTCCATATTCATTTAAACTAAATATTCAACATATGGCATATCTGCAGTTTCATATCAGAGTAATATCCAGGAAGAAACAAAATACGACAACAAAATAAAAGTCTATGTCAATGGAAATGTGGTTAGTATATCTAATAATCATCCACCTAGGTATCCATCCAAGGGTCTCAGGCAAGTAGCTCAAATTCCTCAAAGAACTTTTCCTCTCCAGCTAATTGCAAAATTTTACAAAATTGCCACATCTACAAAACAGAAGGAAAGGAATCCCTTAAATTTGTAATATGATACTACATTCTCAATTTTATGTTCATTCTTCAGAGTACAATTAAAATAATCTATTAATACTATTTAAGCTATGAATAATCTATTAATACTATTAATATTATTTAGGCTAGGGTTGTGGAAATCACCTAAAAATATCACTTCAAGAAGCATAATCGGTCAAGCAAAGCACTCCTTTCTGCAGCATTAAAGCAGCAGCATCCTTCAGAAGGTTCTGCCCAAGTACTTCAAGGGTGTTTTCTGGTTCATTTATTTGTTTGATTTACATCCCAAATAGCATTCCCTCCTCCCATTTTTCTATGCAACAGCCCTGTGAGGTAGGTTGGGGTGAGAGACAGTGACTGACATAGAGTCACCCAGTGAGCTTCCATGGTCAAAAGTGGACTTGAACCTGAGTGTCTCCAGTACCACTTCAGCCCTTTAATTACTACAGCCACTGGCTTTCTCATGTTCTCTGTATATGTGAGTTCGTGCACAGACAACATTTGTACTGGGACCACCAGGGAAGAAAGCAGTTGTCTATGAATGTATAACATGGTGTTTCTATAAAGCAGAGAATTTAATACCAAGCTATTGTTCTAACTTTCATCTTGAAAATATTGGGAGGAGTCTCTAGACTGAGAGTTACAGAGGGGTCTGTGAGGAATGACCTTGACAGTGAGCTGAGACATAGGGATATACTTCATCAGAGTTTGGAATTCACTTTACTTTCACACTACTGATCAGCCACATTTTGGAACTTGTGGTGGTCACAAGTACAAATGTTGTACTTGTGTACTTTCACACTGGTGGTCCCAGTACAAATGTTGTCTGTGCATGAACTCACATGCTTGTTCCTCAAACTGGAGATTCTGAGTCTAGGGATTCATTCATTCATTCATTCATTCATTCATTCATTCATTCTTAAAGAAGGCTGACAATATCAGAAAGTAGGTCTATGATTCCTGAGAGTTCTGGTGACTGAGCACCCATCCAAATAGATAGGGCTAACCTTGAGAAACTGACCTCCTTTCCTTTGCAGTACACAAACCTGGGATCCAAGTAATATATTTCCACCTGTAATTAAAATCCTCAAGGATGTAATGTAAATGAATGTAAATTCTCAACTCATAAGCAGGGTCTGCTATCAGTTATGGGGTGAATGAAGAAAAACAAAGTGATGCATAATCCAAATGAGACAGCTGTTCTGGATTCATCAAAAGGTGGCTAAGGAACTGCTACATATTTTGGGCACTATTGTGGATAAAAAATATATGTGGCTTTCTTCAGCTATGTAATGTCACTTTGTCTAGCTAAGCCCTAAGTAACACTTAAGCAACTTTATCTTCACTAAAGCTTTCAATAGATTTTTTTTTAAAAGATTGATTTCTGAACAAGCACATACCATTCTCTCTCAGCCCAGATAAAAGATGAAAGACAAGAAGCAACTTTATCCAGGGAAAAAAACAGAAAGGAAAATATGCAGCTGGGTATAACATTCTGTATTCATATGTTAAAGTTACCTCCAGCTCTTAATACATTGTATTGCTGTGGAAATCAACTTTTATCCCATCTCTCACTTCATTTTCCTTTAAAAATATTTGCAACATTGGACTGCAGGGGGCTCATACATCTTTCTTCTTATTTATCCTCATGTGAAAACAATACTGGATTACTCTGGAGAGTTAGCATAATGCACACACACACACTATAATCTAAAATGGATTTATCTTTAGGCAAATCTATGATATAATTTATCTGTATTCTTTGGCAGGATAACTTTTTGAATATCGAAAATTGCTAATTTTAAAAATAAATGCTCATATTAGAAATATTTCAAACTCCTGTTTCTGTTCTTAATCTTTGGGGGTGTTGATTTTTCTTTTGGTACGCAAATACAATTCAATTGTGCCAAAAGCCTGGATTTTTTTTAAATGAGTCACTAATCCCTTCCCAATGGAAAAGATTTTAAAAAGGGAACTGATAATTTCATTCTCCAATTGCTAAAACTGTTCATTAATTAGTTGGGACACTGAAAAGTAGGGACAGACCTTTATTACAAAGATATTTATTTTAGTGAATAGTGACCACATGGTTTGCTTTTTACATCACCTGGAAGGGCTAGAGATGGGGTGTTGTTGCTCATTTGTTGGTTTTTAATGAAAACTGGTAATCTGGGCATTAGAACTCACCTACAGGCACAGCTGTTCTTACTTATCAAGTGGTCTGTTAATTAATCCAGATGAACTGGTCTGTTTTTCAAATAATCAAATCAGAACCTAAATCAAATGTTGTAGTACAGCCTACATTTCTTATGGGTGGCTTCACAAAACAATCTCAGGTGAGCAGTGGCTGTTCAGTTCAGCACAATCATGACCTATTCTGAGCAACCAAACCTTTCCTTCTCCCTTGCCCCTTTTACCTTTTTCCAGGTTTCTGCTGGACAGCTACTACACCCAACTTTCCTCCACAGTTGGAACAATGTGAGTAAGGTTTCCCACCGTGCTTTGGAATACTCCAGCAGTGAAAACATCTAATTCTGTACTTTTTGTACCTGAGGAGAAAGAAGTTTAATAAGATGACCATGTCACTGGTCATTCCATATCTCCGTTCACTGACTAAGCTGAATTTTGTAAGCTATACCAACCTTCTTCCCATGTTGCTGTATCTTCTCATTTGCATGAAATGAAATGAAAATGTCTTGTCTTGGGGGTGCATGAAATATTTGTGGGATATAAGAAAAATATTTCCTGTGGACAATAGGGCCAATAGTATTAGGGATTATTGGAACTGTTTTCCAACTTATTTCAAGGGCAGCATCTTAGTCATAGTTCAAATCACCTTTCTCCTTTCTATGCGTTATTGTACCTTTAGTATATAAATCAGAAGCAGTTCTGTGTTTAGCCAGTTCTGTAGCAACTCCTAGACCTTATCAAATATCATTATTGAACTATAATAGCATAGGATGCTAGATACCTAATGCCGCAAGCATTACAGAGAGGGGTCCCATCTTCAGCATCTCTCCACAGTGGTGTTTTCCTAGTCTTGCAAGAAGCACAACGCTTATTCCCTTGAAATCAAAGAGCAATTAGGTCAAGTAATATATCTGAGCAATTAAAATTTGCTGAAAGCATGTCTTGTAATTTTCTTCTAACTTGGACAGTTTCAGGACTAGATATATGGTGTTTAGCTTTTGTTTTGGTTTTTTGGCTGCTCTGAATTTTTGGGAAAAATCCTGTTGACATGAAATATGTCATACGTGCTCATCATTGAAGACTTTGTAAAGAAAATTCAGAATGAATGGCCTTTAATAGGTTAATGTACGTCATTTATACAATACTTAGTATCTATAATTTTCAAATTGTCTCCCTATCTTATTTCAATAATCCTACAAATAGTCTGGTGATAATCATAACTGGGAACCAAATCACTTACAGTAGTGATTTTTTTGCTAGGACAATTCTTAAATGGAGAGTTCTCAACTCATAGTTTAAACTACTTGACTGCACTATAAAGTATAATTTAAAATTGCAATTTAGCACTTAAGTGCTATCTGCCAATCCTTCTGTACAGCTGGCTTATAATCAGAAAGAAATGATGATTCAGACTATAGCACAGAATCACGATTGAGTTGGAAGGGGCCATTTAGGTCATTGAGTCAACCCCACCCCCACCTCCAGTCAGTGCAGAAATCCAAATTAAAGTATCCCAGACAGATGACTGTCTATCCTTCCTTGAACAGATCCCACCAGCTCTCTGTATAACTGGATTTACTGTTGAACTACTGTTACTGTTAGGATTTTTTCTAACATTAATTTGGGGGATGCTTACTAGTGACTTATAGCCATAGGAATCCAGTATAGACCGTGATGTCACGAAAATGATGAAGCATGAGTTGTGATATTACAACACAAACCTCGTAACTTACATACTTGTGCTGCGACATCAGGAGGCAGTTATGAAACACTGAGGTCTGCATGGTGTATATTTCATCACTTGCCAGTCTTGCCTGTCCAATACACCTGTGCTCATAGTATCTTCTACAGTCATCCAACCATCACTAGTGATGGAGCCATATTACCCAAATTATGTTTGGATTATACTAGAAATTGCTACAAGTGACTCTTGGGGATCCCTGTAGAGTAACCACATCTTATTAGTATTTTGAACAGCAACTCCATGAAATCTTTAGAGGAGATGGCCTTATTTAAAGCCTGCCAGTTACAACCCCAGGAAGGGTTCCTCAATATTTAGAGATGTACTTTTTGCCTTGGTGTGTGATTATTTAAAATACCTTATACAATGTTTCATTTAATGTTTGATTATTTTAAAATACTTCTCCCCAATTTTTATTTAAAACCTCAAAGTGGCTAACAAAAATTTAGCCAAAAACACAGTATATATTTAAAACAAAGAAAATACAGTTCATACAGTTTAAGATATTTAAAACAAATGACTGTAAATACCAATGAATCTTATTCATCACATGAGATGCTTCTAAGCTGCTGAGTTTTAAATAGGGATGGAATTCGTTTAATTAATTAATTATTAAAACATACTAGCCTTAAAAATAGTGTATAGTAGTTACTAGGGGAAAAATCTCTTTGACAAGTGGAAAGTGATTCCCTCCCATACTGTGTTGCCTATCAAACTACGATAATTATTAGAGGCTGTTTATTATATGTTAAAATAACTCCAGGTTGTCAACTTATTAGTATATTTGACTTCAGAACACCATGAAAATGAGTCTCCCATTTCCAACTAATGCTCCCTTTCCAACTAATGTTGTGCCTCAAGGTTAGTACATTCTTGTGCAAACATACATTAGTATCTATCGATGATGTAACAAACTGATCTCCCAACTATGCTCTGCCAGAACAATACTGCAGCTTGGCTTATAAAGCAAGGAATACATGATGACAAATTGTGACATCAGGATAACAGTAGCATTGGTTGGAGCCAAACCAAAGCAGTTAATTGCTTAATCAACTGTTTAATAGCTCTGCCTTTGGGTTCTAATGTTCTTACTAGATTGCAATATTCATACTAGATTATAAGACCCAATCTTTTCCTGAAAAAAAAGATAAATCGCAGCATGTTTTTGTCATTGACACTTTAAACATTACTAGTTAGTATTACAAGTGTTTACTGACAAAAGAATTAACGTACTGTGAGTAGAGAGGAATCCTTCCTCTTCTGAACTGCCAGCTTTGCACTCTTCTCCTGCTAAAGGGACTCCGCTTCTTTTCCTAAGTTTTCCACTGAGCAGAGATTAGATGTTTAGCATTTTAAGTGTGCTTTTAAACAAAACCATTTCCCAAGTCACTTGATTTCACTTTGTACCCTGACCTATACTGAAAGCTGAATATAACCAACAATCTTTAATGCTTCTCTCACATTTCTTTACAGCATCTCTGATATATATGCCATGAGTCTCATTTTAGAGATTGAAGAGGAAGGGAAAGGCATAAATTAGACACCCAAGAGCATTCTATGGCCAAGCTGGTTCTTGTTATTGTTTTCCCTGAGGACAGCAGGATCACATTAACTATACAATTATCCACCCTAATGGCAGAGGCCAAACAAAAGAACATAATTGATCACAAACTGTTTATAGGAGAGTTTTTACTAAAAGATTGTTTACCAAATGTGAATTAACTCTGCAGCTTTGTGAGCAATACCTGGTACAATGAAGTTCAAGACAGTTTAATTAATTTTCAACCAAAGCAGTAAGAAACTTACTCAAATCAGACTTGATCCAAGATGCATCTAAATACAAAAAGGATCTTATATCTGTTAAAATGTGTCTTCTAAATGTAAGCTCCCACATTTACAGATCTGTCCTATATATGTCTACGCAGAAAAAAGTTCTATGGTTCATAGGAGTTATTCCTGGATCAGTAGGAGTCAAGACTGAACAGCTCAACAAGTGTAATATAGAAATATAAACTCAGTAATAGCCATGCTGATCATAAAGAAAATATAGAAACCTCTAACAAATAGTTCATAGGTACCGTAGTTTATAAATACAATTCTGCAGCTAAGCCTAAAAAACAGTTGAGGCTTAAAAGGGGCAGGTAGAGAACAGATAACAAAGTAGAAAATACAGTTCCTCATATCTTACCTTCCTTAGGATTATTTTACTTCATCTAAATCACAGTGTGTTACAAAATGAAAATAATAAAAAAGGTGCCCCTCCTTTTTCTTCTTCTTTTTTTTTTTTTTTTTTTTTGCTGGTTATCACATGTTTGGCATGGCAACGGTATGGAAAGTGATCAAGGCAAGAGGAGAATAGGTCATGTGAAGAATAAATAGTATAGTGGGGTCTCCTTTCTGTAGAATTTACTCCCAAAATAAAATGTTCAACTCTGGTGACCTTTATATATTAGGAACTACAGTTCCAACCAGAATGATCAATGGCCAGGAATTATGAGTGATCTAATCCATAATTTCTGAAAGGCATGAAGTCCCTTATCACGGAGATAAGAGTGACTAGAAGACAACACAGCCTTTGGGTGGCTGGGAAGTGACTTACAACCGCAGTTCTGAGACTGGTTTTTCCCCAGCAATACAGTACTGAACTTCTGAGAGTACTGCTTTGTATCTACCAGTCAGTACTTGCCTAGCTGGAATTCCAGGAAGAAGTTACAGATTATCACTTCCTCGACACCTTATCTCCATAGGTGACCAGACTGACTCAACAAAAACAGAAAGGAACAGAAGGAAGACTGGCCAAGAATTATAACTCTGTTGCAATCTTTATCAACATGGTGCCTTACTATGTTAGGAACTGACATTGTCTCTTGTCATCTGGAAAACAAGGCTCAATGGCTTATTCTTCCGTGGAGAGCACAGCAGGGGCATTTGGAATTCTGAAAACATGTTATGGACTCTCATAAAATGGCTGCTATAAGGGGTGGTGGAGGTGAGAACAAATGTCCATTCATAAAATGGCCTCCAGGGAGACATTGCCCTTCCAAAACATCTATTTACCAAAATACTTCCACCCAACCCCTCTAGCCTCCCCAGTTCTTGCACAATTTTTGATACTGCTGTTGTGGCTTACCTTGGTCCTTTTGTTAGGCAAGAAGGTACAGCCACCTATCATTTTTATTTTCCAAGAAAAGTTATGAGATCCATGCGTCATTTTTGAAAGTAAAAATGATGCTGGAGGCTTTGCAAGGTGGGCTTGGGAACATGGTGAGATAGCAACTGGTTCTTTAGGGTCTACAGACACTGGGGTGGGCTCCCAAACTCAACTGCTTTCAATATCTGAGTGTTCTTTCAAAGTTTGACTAACCCAAAATGATGGGAAAGCTTGATAGGTATCTCTCTTTTAAGGCAAAATGCAGCTTCTAGGAATTGGGGCACTACACAGGGGAGAATGTTTAAATCTTTGTGGAGTCTTTGACATTTTTTCCAATCATTACTTGTGGGACACAGTATGCATATTAGACAAGTTAATTAAGAAAATTATTATTAAATTATTAAATGGAAAATTATTCTTTAGTCTTACAGAGCAGCTTTTTTAGCATATCTGGGAATTTGGAGCCACAGGTTCACTGATGTGTCCTGCAGCAACTGTACCTGCTGAATTGGGGGTTAATGAGAAGGCGACAGCCCTCTGAGCTGCTTTGACACAGACAGAGTTTCATGTGGAGCGTCACCCCTTGGAAATTTGGGTCCAGAGCATCATAGCTCCTCCTGGGTCTAGGCTGCTTGCGGAAGACTCTCCTCCTACCTCTCTGTGACTCAGAGAGTTGTGCCAGTCTGGGCTCTTCCACACACGCTGTCCACAGCAGGTGGCTACCATGGTCTTTAGCGTGAGTAATGGGAGACCTCTCATGAGCAACCTCCCCAGCTTCTGGGGGCTTGACCTGATCTAGAGGTTCCGACTCAAGGCTGGAGCAATGGAGGCTGATGAGGCTCAGAGCATCCGCGGGAGCAAAAGACACTAGGGGGGAGGGGAAACAGTTGCACTGGGGCGCACAGACACCGTGGACCGAATGCATGGCCCGACCCAGCTGCCACAGAGGCTTTCCTGGGTTACTGCTGATTGGCTTTGCCTGGGACAGCAGCTGCGCACTCTCCTGCAGGAAGCTGAGGGCTTTGCTGTCCGGCATCTGAAGGCAACAAGCCATGTCACTGAAAGGCTCAAACCTGCAGGTGAGAGGGAATAAGCAAAAAGCACTGAGTGAGCCAAGGTGAAGGAGGAGATTGTCACGTGTGCTTATAAAAGGGTGGGGCACTTACACCAAACTCTCCTTCTTCCACGTGCACCAACTAAGGGCTGCCCCCACATAAGAAATACTAACATTTCCATACTATTTTTAAAATTTACAAATGGCTCTTCTAAAAACTGTTTTTAATAATGTCCCCATAAGGAGGTTATCTTGGGCTGCTTTTTAGAGGACTTCCAGCCCCAAATAGTTCTGTAATCATTCTCTATCTCTACTATGTGCTAGTATAATTTCTGTATGAGAGGTTCTCCTGGCACCCATCCAAATTTAATTAAAAATATTTTTCTAATTTATTAAAAGAACTTTTTAAAAAAAAATCCTAACCAAGGGTTCAACACATATGAAAACATTCAGACTTTTTATACTGAAAAATTATCTGTGACTTTATCATGAACAGTTATCTATTTTATTATTTATGCTTTAGCCGGTATACACAACTAAAGGCCCTATAAATCTGTTGTAGCATCTAGAGAAAATATTGAAACAAGTGATCAACAATTGCTGTAACACAATTTAATGTCAGTGAGCTGACTAGATATAAATATAGGTGCTCTAAAATTTTATGAACCATATGACTTATTTCCAAGTAAATGTACTGCTCAAATGGGTTTCAAAAGAAAAGAAGTTCAGTAATAACTGGGACTCATCTCCTCAAACATCTATAGGCATTTTAGCGACCATGGCTTGTTAATGAATACGTTTGGCAATAAGTCTCACAAACTGACAGATTGATTATAGGACTGTAGTCCACAAAAGTTTGTGTCCTAAATCTTCAGGATACCACAGAACTGTTGCTTGCACAATGAATTATTACAGAGACCATCCTGTTGGAAACTTCCCTAAATAAATAAAGCTTCACTTTCTTACATAATTCATTACCCTTTTTCCATGTATCCTTCCATAATCCATAAGGCTTTGTATATTCCCCTCCCCCCCATAACTTCAGCATGATTATTCTAACCTTAATCTAAGAGATCTACCCTTAGCAGAGGGAGTTTTTGAAATGAAGAGTTTGGAATTTGGAGCCAAGTTATCAACGCGTTCTTTGCCTGAAGCAAATCAGAGCCCCGGTGGGTGGCGCACCTCCTGGCTCGCTTCTGCCGTGCGAGCTCATCACCTGTAGCTTTGAAAATCGACCTACGGGACCGGGGATCGCCCTGCTTCGAATATCCCATCCTTTGAACACGACTCCTTAGGTTCCCTCAGCTCCCCAGTCTAATACAGTGCAGGACTTCGTGGGAACGGCCCAAGGAGGCACTTCCCTGAAAGAGACGCCCGTCTGCCATCTCAAGGGAGGCACCAATCATTGATACATCCCCTTTCCCCTCCACGCGAGACTGAGGTGAGTTCCAGCCCCCCCGCTTTCCCCAACAGTCTTGCTCACTAATTCCTCCTCCTGCTCTGGAGGCTGCTCTTTCCCATATCCGGACAAGTTACTCCAGGCTGGCTAAACAAGAGGCACCCTCCTCCTGGGCTCACCGCCCCTCAAGGAAAACCCACAAGGCGCCCGTATAAAGTTTCCCGCCCCCTCAGCTGCCCACATGTGCAAGCCCCCGCGCGGGGTTCCCGCTTGCAACTTCTTGACCAATAGTAACCAACCCTGCTTGGGCTCGCGCCGCTCACCACCCAAAGGCTAATCTGGCTAGAGCGTGCGGGGAAGATGCAGCCCCCCTCTACACACGCCGCGGTTATTTCCGAGTAAACGGGGAAAGGGTTTCGCTCTAAAGACCCATCCTAAACCACACCTTGCTCGGAAATAAATCCCAATAAGATTACATAGAATTAAAACAAATGAGCCGGTAGCCCAGGTCCTTTGCAGATTTACTCAGAAGCAAGTCCCACTGCGTTTAGTGAGGGTTACTCCTAAACTTATCGTCCGCGGGATTAAGCCCCCGTTTGATTCTGAGAGGTCCAAAACGCTAATTCGGATCCCCCAGCTGAGTGGGCGCAATCACCCAGAAGCTTTTCCGGATCTTCTTCGGCTGCGAACTGATCTGGAGCCTCTCCTTCCCAGGAGCAGATTATAGATGTCAGTCAGAGCATCTAACCTGAATTCTCTACCGGCGGCTGTTTCTGACCCGATGCCCCCTGAGGTGGAGGGCGGGCTGCTGATAGGCTCGGATTCCAGGCAAGGTGGGCAGAGCAGCTCCTGCAGGACAGAAAAATCTGGGGGTTGCCCTTCCAAGAAAAGCTCCCCCTCCATGACCGGCAGTCCGGAGGGAAAAACTGACGCCGATCACCACCTTCAACGGCGCAAGATTCAACCTTACAACGAAGGTGCTAAATTGGGCACACCTGGGAGCGCAGGGCCGGCACCTATAAAAGGGGATTCGACTCTCCCCTCCTCTGTCCCAACCCGCCAACCAGCTTTAGGCGATGTCGATCCGAAGAGGAGAAGGTAGAGATTGGAGCGGAGCAAAAATGTGCACGAGGTCAAGGATATCCCCGAAACGGAGAACGGACCAAAAGCAGGTTCCCTTACCGTACCGAAGTGAGGGCATCTTCTGTAAAGTAAGATGCTGGGTGTCTTTCCTAGAGTCTGTCATGACTTTTTTTTTTTTTTTTACAGAGGAGGAAAATGAATTTGAGAAATTAGGGTAAGCGGCTTCATTGAGTTAGTTAAGTGGAGCCTCCATGTTAAAAGATGGAGGAGATATCACTGCGTGCTTTGCTTTAGCTTTTAGCTGTGTGCTTTAGCTGAGCTTTGGTTGCTCAGCTTTCAAGAGCCATCCAATTGGTTACTACTGAAAACATTGTTCAACTAAGTGGGTTTGAACCAATGTACATTCAGCCACCTAAAAGTTCTGAGCAAGATACTCTTTGCTTGAAATATATCTGATTAAAAATTATCGGATGTAGTATGCATTTGCTTAGTTTTTAAAATAAGGAACTGGGGTCACATTTGGAAGCAATCTACTTCCTTCTAAGTATGTCTACAGCAAGTGGTAACACCTGGCTAATCTCACCTGAGAACAAAGCCCCAAACTGTTAACTCAAAAGGTTAGCATGTGGATGGAAGACCCAGGACTGTAGGCTAGACTGCAAGGAGAAGAAAGGGTCTTAGAAGTTGGCAGTGGCAAACAATTTCTGACTTGTAAGAAAATTATATGGATGCACCCACTGAGTTGCAGGAATTCGATCTGACTGGAAAGTAACTTCACTTTTCTGCTGAGGTTGGATATGAAGAACTCAGGTACAGATCCACATTCACACATTCAGACCCAAATCCTTCTCAGCTGAACCTGCTTTTTAAGCTTATTGAGAGGATAATATGCCAGCTTCCAGTGGTTCTGGCTGTGCAGGCTGAGCTTCATCGGTCCTCCACTTAGGCTGCCCTTTTCTAAGCTCTTGGACTATGGGCTACCAACATCTATGATGTCCACCCAAAATATGGAGGCTATTTTAGGTCAGGGCAAGCTTTTTGTAGCTTTGGGGTGTGACAATGGCTCTAGGTACATTAATAGGGGTGATTGGTTTGTTTGCTTTACTTTGGGTTTTTAAGAAATTAAATAGGTGCATTAAGCTTAATGGAGAAACTGCTGTGTATTTTGTTTTTGTTTTTTTAATGTGAAATTTCAGCAGCACAGTCTGCAGGAGGGCTACAGAAAAGGTGTTGGGACAGCACATTTCAGAATTTGGCCAATGCCCACCCCCTGCTTAAGCTGCTCATTTCAGCAGGATTATTTAAGAGCAAAAACTTATAAGAGTTTGTCAGCCTAAAGGAAACTTTTCTGGTTTTGAGCTAACATAATCCCTTCCAAGTCTAAGGGTTGTATATCAATTTTGAAAATTCCCTGAGATTGGGGACATAAATGATTTTTTTTAAAACCCTCAGATACCCTTCCCTGCCCAAAATTCTTCTCTTTTTAAAGGGGTGGTGGAAGGTTGGTATTTGTGGTCTCAGATCTTACTTGGCAGTGAGTTTTTTCACAGAACTGGATTCTCATATAAGCACCAATGGAAATAGATACACTTGACTTCCTTTGCACTATTCCTAGCATTGGTTTCCTCAAACTGTATCTTTTGATCAAAATATTACTTTTAGATAAATTATAATTTCTGAGTTATTAAATCTGCTTATCATGAAGCAGTTTCCTTATTGTATTTATTTGATGCCAACTGACTCTAGGTATCATGTTCATAGATGACCTCTTGGGCTTATGGATACAACTTCATTTGGGACTAATCCATCTGTATTGTTCAGTATCTTAAATTGCTGGAATTATGTCCTTTTTAGTGAAAAACAAAAGGCTGTCCCACATCTACAGGTGTCAATCACATTTGTCAAAAACTGAAGTTTCTCAAACTTGGGGCTGAGTCTGCTGTTTTGGAATAGGATGAAGCAACCTGTTTCAGGCGGCATCAGGAAGGGAAGTGAGAGTGAAAGCAAGAACTGGTATCTGACTGGTGCAACATTTTAAAGCACGGGTCTGAATGAGATAATTGTTCTAACAAATAACCACAGATGTATTCGTAAATTACCACAGGTATGAATACATTTCTCTCTACCTCTTGCTTGAGTTCTTGTGGACACACCACATATTTACAGTGGAGCTTAAAAGTTTGTGAACCCTTTTGTATTTTCAATTATTTCTACACAAATATGTCCTAAAATATGATTTCTTCACACAGGTCCTACAGCTAAAGAGAACCCAGTTAAACAAATGAGTCAAAAACATACTTGTTCATTGATTTATTGAGGAAAATTATCAAAAGCTACATATTTGTGTGTGGATTATCAGTTCATTTGAAGTGGAAATTAGAGCGAGGCATTTCAATCAATGGGGTGATAATCAGGTGTGAGTGTGGGAAGAGAATTTATTTAAAGAAGAGAATTTTGGGTATTCACTATCAAGTCTGATCTTCACACAGGTATGTGGAAGTGTGTCATGGCTCAAAGGAGATTCCTGAAGACCTCCAAAAAACAAGTTGTTGATGCTTACCACTCTGGAAAGATTACAAAACAATTTCCAATGATCTTGGACTCCACCAGTCCACTGTCAGGTAGATTGTGTACAAATGGAGGCAGTTCAACACCATTGTTACCCTCCCCAGGAGTGGTCAAGCAGCCAAGATCACACCAAGAGCAAAGTATATAATACTCTGGGAAGTCTCAACCCCAGGATAATGTCTGGGGAACTAAACATGTCTCTTGTATCAGTGAATGTCAGTGTTTATGAGACCACCATCAGGAGAACAGTGAACAACAGTGGTGTACATGGCAGAGTTGCAAGGAGAAAAGTCACTACTCTTCAAAAAGAACATTGCTGCCCATCTACAGTTTGTGAAAGACCATGTGGATAAGCCAGAAGGCTATTGGAACAATGTTCTGTGGATGGATGAGACCAAAGCATAACATTACAGCTCAAATGAAAAGCATTCTCTTTGGCGAAAGGCAAACACTGCATTCCAGCGTAAGAACTTTATTCCAGCTGTGAAACGTGATGGCAGTATCATGGTCTGGGGTTGCTTTGCTGTCTCTGGAGCAAGGCAGCTTACCATCACCAAATGAACTAGGAATTCTGAACTGTAGCAGCAAATTTTACAGGAACATGTCAGGGTATCTGTCCGTGACCTGAAGCTCAAGAGAAAGTGGGTCATGCAGCAAGATAATGACTGAAAACCCACGGGTCATACTACCAAAGAATGATTAAAGCAGAAGAAATTTAATGTTTTGGAATAGCCAAGTCAAAATCCTGACTTTAATCCTATAGAAATGTTGTGGAAGGACCTGAAGGGGGCAATTTATGCAAGGAAGCCCACCAACATTCCTGAGTTAAAAGGAGGAATGGGCTAAAATTCCTCCAAGCTGATGTGCAGGACTGATCAGTTATCAGAAATGTTAATTGCAGTTACTGCTGCCCAAGGGGGGCACACCAGTTACTGAAAGCAAAGGTTCACATACTTTTGCCACAGACAAATATGTAGCTTTGGATCATTTTCCTCAATAAATCAATGAACAAGTATAATGTTTTGACTCATTTGTTTAATTAGGTTCTCTTTATCCACATACTTTTGCCACAGACAAATATGTAGCTTTGGATCATTTTCCTCAATAAATCAATGAACAAGTATAATGTTTTGACTCATTTGTTTAATTAGGTTCTCTTTATCTAGAACAGATCACATTTTAGGTCATATTTATGCAGAAATATTGAAAATTCAAAAGGGTTCACAAACTTTTAAGCATCACTGTATACTTTTCATATTGTACACATATTTGCCTTTTACTACATATTTATGAACATTTTAGCTGCTGCAATGGAAGAGAAACCTAAATATGATAATCTACGAAGACTGCTGCACAGAATGAAAAAAATGGTTTTGCTGAGAGAAATTCCCACTGTACCCGAAAGGGCTATAGCAAGATTGGAAAACTTGTGGTCCTCTGGGTGATGTTCAGTTCCAATCAATCTCAATCAGCACGGGCACTGGTCAAAGATTATAGGCGTTGTAGTCAACCTTTGGAGGAGCATAGGTTGCTCAAACCAATTTAACAGCATAAAACTCATCTGAATTGTAGATTAAGCCTCTCCCAACTACTTGTTAAATAAACAAAAGCAGATCCATCATCTATACCAATGCTGTACCAGATCTGGTGGGAAGAGTATCTATTTTCCTTGCACTGAAAGTATGTAGACAATAATAATACACAGACATTATCTACATACAAAACTGATTCTTTTCTGAAAATGTTTTTTTCCCCTACAAATTAATCTGGAAAATAGCATGCTGTATGCCCACCAGGTTTGTTGTAATTCTGCTGATGACACTACTCTGATAGCCAAAAATGCAAAGGATCCACAAGCCTTAATAAAAAAAGTCAAGGAGCACAGTCAATTAATGGTACTAAAATTAAATATAAAGAACAACAAACTAAGGGCAACAGGTACAACAGCCAGCCATA